ACGGGGTCACAGCCTCCTTTGGGCATCCACCTGCTCCGGCGTGGGGTCCTCCACGGGCTGCAGGTGGATATCTGCTCCACCATGGACCTCCATGGGCTGCAGGGGGACAACCTGCCTCACCATGGTCTTCACCATGGTCTGCAGGGGAATCTCTGCTCCGGGACCTGGAGCACCTCCTCCCCCTCCTTCTTCGCTGACCTTGGTGTCTGCAGAGTTGTTTCTCTCACATATTCTCACTCCTCTCTCTGGCTGCAGTTGTGCATGCTTTTTCCCCCCCTTCTCAAATATGTTACCACAGAGGTGCTACCACCATTGCTGATGGGCTGGGCCTTGGCCAGAAGCGGGTCCATCTTGGAGCCGGCTGGCATTGTCTCTGTGGGACATAGGGGAAGTTTCTAGCAGCTTCTCACAGAAGCCACCTCTGTAACCCCCCTTGCCACACAAACCCAATACAGTGTATCAGTGACAGACCTGGATTCTGGTGCAGGGAGAAAGCATTCATGCGAATTATTATATGCCTGTATATCATTCCAAGACATACAACAGCATGGTACAGTTTGCATCTAGACAAAGCCTGTATTTTAAGGCTTTTCATCTTTCCTTGATAAGCTTGAGTGCAGGAGACAGGTACCACAGGACTCTCTTTGTAAATAAGGGTAAACTGAGGCAAGGAACAGGAGGTTCCACAATGGGGGAGTGGGCCCCGCAGGAGGAAAAGTCAGACCGTGGAAAAGCCCATCCCAGACTTTGCTTTCTAGAGAAGAGCTCCTCGCCTTCTGTGTGCAAGCAGTGCTCTGTCTGGGGTAACAGCAAAGTGAGGAGAAAGGATGCACAGAAGCAATCTACTGCTTTCACTGCTTCTGCTCTACAACAAATGACAAATATCGTCTTTTACAAAGCCTTGGTGCTCAGAATTTTTTAACCTAATACTGCTATACACAACTGCGCAACGGGTCTCCGTCTGAATTCACAAAGTTACCTTACTTTGTGTTATGAGCAGAGCTTAATCCTTCTGGAGCCAAACTGCATAAAATTGCCAAAAGCTGACACATGTCTCCGCTCAGTGTTGCCTATTGACAAGCAGGCACTTCTGGCCAAACCGAGAGGGAAACATCTGTCATAGGTGTTAATGAGACCATAGCATGTAGCAAGCAAGACCCAACCAGCTCAGCAAGATCAGACAAAATTCATGTTCTCATTGGGTGATCACAGCTATCTACGGTTGCACTCAGCTGTCAGGGGAATCACTTGCACACATCCTTCCTTACACAGATATTTTATGAATTTTAGAGTTAGCAGGATGCAAATCTGCCCTTTCAAGCTCGTCTGTTAAAGCAGAGCTTTGGCCGGTACTTTGCAGGGGCTTGTGCAGGAAAACAAAGTGGTATTAAAGAATGTCGCAAGTGTCGTCCTGTCCGAGCCAGCCCAGTTGAAGCATGGGGCGGGAAGTACTTTTTTAGCAGAGATGTAAAATTAAATGCCCCATTGCTTGTAACTAGTCCTGGTACCGTGTTGTTTTCGCAGGAAGTCATGGGCAGCTTCAATCGTCATACCTGCCAACGGTCCCGAACGAAATGCTGCTGCTGGAATAGGTGTGTGGCATGGTTTCAGGTTGTCAGGCGACAGGATCATGCCTCTGAACAGTGGTGAGTTAAAGCAGAAGGAAGGGAGGGGAAAGGGGAGAAAGGAGAGGCACTAATTCACAGAGAAAGCTTTCATTTAATTAACTGATTATTTACATCTCACTGTACAAATCGGAGCTAAGTATATCCATCCAAGTCAATGTATATGATTCACAGTTTGTCAAATAAAGATTCTGGAAGTGAGAAGTTACAGAAATAAAAGTCATGAATCATCAGTTTTTCTTTTATGCTCATGGACAGCATCTTTTATTACATGTAAATTCAGTTTATAACCATTGCAAACAGAAAAAATAGCTGAAGTCAAGTTTGCATGGATAGAAAAGTGACACAGCTTTGTGAACAAGAAATTTCGAGTCTAAGGATGGATTCTGCCCTGTTGTTTTAGTAGAATCCACTCGACCAGCAGTAAACATCTGCAATGTCTGTTTATGGGCTCTACTTGGGGATTCTCCATCCCAGTCTAAAATAGGCAGCTACAATGACGAAGTGCACCCTAAAAGCTGCCAAATTCCCTCTGTTGACTATCAGAAGCTCAGATAAAGACTGTGGTTTACTAAAGTTAGGTGAGACGAACCCTACTTGCTAATGCTCCTTGAAGCCAAATTCATAGAAAAGTCCCTAATCATTTTGAGAATTTCAGATGAGATACCTGGTTTGATGTACGAGCCCTTCTTCACAGTGTGCTGAGCTCCTGCGGTGCTACTTACAAAGATAAAAGCTGCGAATACCTCTCCACGTACACGTTTAAAAGTCATGTTTCAGAACCTGAGCTGAACAGCCAAAAAGAAATGGCTCTTTTTTAATGTGAGGTCTTTCCTGCACCCATTTCACACGACAGGCACCCGCTACTGTGTAAGGTTCACTGTGGGCGTAACTCAGCCCCGTCCTCCTCTTGAGATTCATCATGTGCTTTTGCCATGACTTGCTGGGAGGACACACGTGGTTCAGTCTGCAGAGGTGGTAAGCACACTTTTTGATGTTTCTTTGACATGGCAAGAAATGTCAAAGGTTTGCACAGTGGGAAGAAGAGCCCCACCCCAAAACATCTCAGGTGGGGTGCCCCCGCCGAGGCAGCGCCTGTCCCATGTCTCTCTCTTCTGAAGATGCACCAAACAGGAGGACTACACTGTGTATTTTTGTTTCTCTGGAGGACATCTATAGAGGCAACAGACAAGTGGATATAAAGTTAGCTGTTAACTGACTCGACTGTTTAGAAATTAACAAACAAATGTAAATACCACTAGGTATCTGGAAACCAGTGTTTTCTTTTCTGTCTGAGACAGCAAAATGAACGGAGAGCAATATCGAAGCATTGAAAGTTAGCGGACTAGGGACAGAAATATACCAGTTGCTAGGAGATGGCATTTAATCTAGAATTTTTGGCAATAAATAAAAATGAAGTTATAAGAAGAAATATTGTTTAGGGCAGAAATCAACGTGAAGCAAGCAGTTGTTCATGAGAGGGAGCAAAGCTGTCGTGGCCGCAGAAGAGCAAGGATGCTGCCTGACGTCCTGCCGCAGGGATGGAGGTGAATGGGAAGGTTATTGACTTGACCATGGGAACAAAACCCCTGCCAGTGAAAGACATCGCGGACAAAACTCTTTCCTAGTTGAAGTTGCTGGGAGATATGCCACTAAGGTAAATAAGGGCTGTACTTCAACCTGCAAATATCACCTTTGTCTGTGATGGAAGCCCAACCAGAACCTAAAATGTTGTGAAACTCCGCTTGCTCCCTCTGGTTGCGAAAATTACAGAAAAACACAGCAAAAGTGAGTTGCTTATGAAGTCAAATCCCGAATCCACCAGAATCTGCTGGTTTCTTTCCCCACTAAAAGCCCTACTTTCTTAATAGAATTAAAATTGATAAATGCTGTTTTTTAAGACTAGAATGTCTTGCGAAACCAAACGGGCTTTAACAGCAAGGCCAGCAGGGAGTAGGTTTGGCTGCTCCTTACAGCAGCCCAGCCCTTGGTGGGATTTGCCTGAGTGGTGCTTTAGTCCTGTTGAAATCAAGGGCAAAATTGCAATATATCTCAAAAGGTCATTTTCTCCCACACATACACAGGTAAAGGTTTATGCGTAATCTAGTCCAGCACAAGGTAATCACCTACATCTTTTGAGGACGCAACCCTCTTCTGGTTCATATATAAAGTAACTATATGCAGGTCTTAGAAGCAGTGTTTGCTTCAACACTGCCCCTGGGTAATTTCCATCTCAGACATCCCCTTGACCAAGGCTGGTAACCACTTCTACAATATTTGGTCACAGTGATTACATTAATTAGCAGGACCAAACCTGCTAATAGGGGTAGGGGTCCCAAGGACAAGACAAAATTCCAGACCTTTCATAACTTCAATATTACCTGAAATCCTGAACGCTGGAGCACTACTTGTTTACACTTGCTTAGGATAGTGCTTGTCGGAGTGACTAATAATTTTTGCTGGGCAGCAGCCAAAGATCAGAGTTCATGCTGATGCCTGCAATCTGCCAGAAGGCTTTGATATTGTCAACAGGGGTATGGTCAAGCCTAAATAACCACTGGTTGATACGTACTCCTCGCTCAGAAGATCCAGAGGACTGTCCTCTCTGCTGGCCCAGTTTGCCTTCCGAAGGATAACTGCTGATTGCAGGCATTACTGGCTGCTGCAATGGTCTCTGCAGACCTATAGGTGCTGGCAGGAAGGCAGTAACATACGTGCTGTTAACATTAATGCTGCTGGTGGCACTGGCATCTCCTCTTCATGCAATCCAGACAGCACAGATGGTACCATCACATCTGGATCTGCACCCTTGCCAGGATACTCCACAGTGAGGAAGGGCTGGACAAGGACTGGTTGGTTGTCGTTCGATCCCTCTGATTGATCCCACCGGCTGGATGGGAGACTATCGGCCAAGGAGGGTTGGCTGGATTTTTGTCATTATGTGTGGTTAAGAGCCCAACCACCACAGGCACTGACTGCATCTCTCTTATTTTATCGGCTCTCGGTGACCCTGCTTGAGCAGGAGGGTGAGACCAGATGCCCTCCAGTGGTCCCTTCCAACCTCAAAATTCTGTGATTCTCTGATTTTTATGCCAGCAATGATTCCTGAATTTACAGAGCTGAATGTAAAGCCCAGTCAATGAGAGACCTCATGTCGTGGTTTAACCTCAGTCGGCAACTAAGCACCACGCAGCTGCTCGCTCACTCCCCCCCAGCCCCGGTGGGATGGGGGAGAGAATTGGAAGAGCACAAGTGAGAAAAACTCGTGGGTTGAGATAAAAACAGTTTAATAATTGAAATAAAATTATAATAATCATAATATGATAATAATAATAATAATAATACACAAAGCAAGTGATGCACAGTACAATTGCTCACCACCTGCTGACCGATGCCCAGCCAGTCCCCGAGCAGCAGCCCCCCCGCCAGCTTCCCCCAGTTTAGGTACTGAGCATGACGTCACATGGTATGGAA